ATTTCATGTGAGCTTACTGTATCTTGCACAGATCTGTGAAGGCTTGTCTCTAATCAGAGTCAAACTCTGAGATGCAAGAAGGTAATAGTTCAGCATACTATTTATTTAAAGGGACACAATGAGAAAAAATTGAAACTAATATTAGAAGAAAATATTAATTTAAAAGTCTATGTTAAACGTGGTTAAATATAACATTTTAGAAATAGTCCCATTGTTGAATGTGTATATTTTAAATTTCTTTAACTAACATTATGCAAATTTATTTATTCTTTCACTTCCTTGGCTAACTTATTTCTAGGCTTTTATTTTTTCTAGATTTTGTGGATAGAATAAAACTCATAATTTCTTTTCAGCAAGTTCACTATTCCTGTACAAAAACTAGTACTGAGCATTGCCTGTCTCTTACAACATCACTGAATTGGCTTATCATTTCTAATTGCCTTTGGTGGAATCTAGCTTTCCATGGATTTAGAATCACATAACCTACAAACAAGCATGTTTTGACTTTCTTTCCTCCCATTCTATATATTTTGTTTATCTCTCCAGTCTAATTGCTGAACCTTTTAGTCATCTGCAGTATTATAAGAGTTGAGCAACAAGACATCTTTGTCATATTCCAAATTTTAGAGAAAATGATTCCAGGTTTTCCTCATTTAGTATATTGGATGTAAATTTGTCATATATATGCTTCATTATGTTGTGGTATGGACTTCCAATAATTAAAACGTTCAGAGATGTTTTATCATGAAGGGCTGGTCAATTCTACTGAGTGTTTTTCTGCATTTATTGACATGATTATATGGTATTTGTTCTCATTCTGTCTATGTGATTATATTTATTGATTTTTTTTATGTGGACAATCCCTGAAACCCTGATCATGATGAATGACCTTATTTACATACTTTCAGATTCAGCCTACCAGAATTTTTAAAGATTTTTTTTGCCTCTATGGTCATTGTAAAATTGACTTATATTTTTCTTTTTGTTTTCTTTCTGGTGGTGGTTGTGCTTTTGTCCAGTTTTGGTGTCAGAGCAATATTGGTTTTGTAGAATGAGTTTGGAAATGTATAATATTCCCATTAAAAAATAAATATATTTGCGTATGGTTTAGTCTTTAAATTTCCAGGACTTTTTGTTTTACATGATAACTTGTTTATTTTCATTCTTAGTAGTCCTTAGAGAAGTTTGTACAATGTGTTTTGATCATATGCACCCTTGTCAACTTCCCCAAAATTCAGCCTCTTCCTTACCCACCCAAGTTTGTGTTCTCTTTTTATTGCACCAATTTAAGTTCACTGTGTGTTTCTCGTCTAGTCTAGAATGCATAGTCTCCCATTGGAGCATTGGTTTGCCAGGGGCTACACTCTTAAGGAAAGCTGAGCTTTTCCTTTGCCTAGGTGTGGGACTTTGTGTTCAGCTCTACTCTGCACGCTGGGATTTGATCTGGCTTGAGCTTTTACAGGTCTTGTTCATGCTGTCATAACCGCTGTGAGTTCACATGTACAGCCTTGCTGTGCCCGGAAAACAGTTTTGTTGGAATCATCTACTGCATCTAACTCTTCCTGTGTTCTTTCTACCCTGTCTTCTGCACTGATCTCTAAGTCTTTGCAGGGGATGTTATACAAATGCCCCACTTAGGGTTTAGTAATCCTTAATTTCTTTTTCTCTGAGCCTTGACTAATTTGGTCTTTGTGTTAATTACCATCTATTACGGAAGGAAGCTGTTTTGCTGAAGGTTTACTGATGCACTAACCTGTGGGTATAACAATAAATCATTAGGAGTTAATACTACATCATTTTGCAGAGCAATAGTAGTAGGCTAAACCTCCAGGGCCTGTGGTCTCTCTAGACACAGCTTCTTGGCCTAATAATGGAGCCAGCTAGAGATTTCATCTTGTGGACTGAGACTTAAATTTAATCAGAAAGTACTTGATCACTCCCATAATTCTGTGCCCCCATCATACCAGTGGCTATGTCTTTCCAGGCCAATTATTATTGTAGCTCACACGATTCACAGCTGGATAAGATTGATGGTTAGTTTTCCTCTCCATTAGCATGCATAGTGTCTCCAAGAACTCTTAAAGCTGGTCAGAAGTAATGTAGTTTCCAAATCAGTACCAGCTTTTCTATCATTCAAGTATCTGATATCTTCAGCAGTAGGTTCTTACTATCAAGTTTCAGAGGGTAACCTATAGCATTAGCAATAGTGTATAATGTTTAGAGGACTATGGGACCTCATGGGCTAACCACTCTCAAAGAGATAACCCATTCCCAACACTGGATTTGTATGTTAGCCTGTGGTATATAACAGGGACATTGCCAACTCGTTGTAAGTTAACTCCATAGCTTGAAGAGAAAATAATGGTACTTTTTTATAAGTTTGGTCAAATATTCAACATAGTTCTAAGTAAGAGGGTGAGTTAGAAATTGCCTCTGTGACAGTGAATGAAGAGAGCAGGGTAAACGAAGAAACCAAACCAAACCAAACAAGATTCTACTCCTATGAGAGAAAGAGCTGAACAAAGAAGAAACAACTCAAGCTGAGATCTACAAAATTCTCTCGGAATTACCTGTGCTACTCGTCGGAGGTCTGGGTCAGTGGTCCAGCCATGGAGGTAGGGTCCACTCCTAGTGGCGAGCTGGAGAGAGACTGGCCTGGTTGTGGAGACATACCAGGCTGCATATACCATGGCTGCAGAGTAGGTCAGAGCACCACTGGCTGGTGGGATTGAGGCAGAAGTGTACCATGGAACCACAAAGCAGACTTTCTGAGAATGAACAAGCTGAAAAGGTCCTGTCCCTACCACTAGCTTGGCGTATGACAACACAGGGACATGAAAAATATGCTGAATTGGGTACAGTTTACACCAGTTAGTGGCAAAAACCTCAGGCAAAAACTGTGGACTAGGAAAGAGAAGAAAAATCTGTCTAGAAAAAAAAGCATCCAAGATCAAAGGTGAGCGCAAGCATGGGTAGGCCTTTTATACCCTCTCAGAACTTGGGTCACAGAATGCCCCAGGTAAAAAATAAGAGTCTGCAGCACAACAGAGATGACGTTTAATTGGCAAGCAGTGGGCAGGGTGGAATGGAGTCTTAGACTGGGGAATTCCCACAGAAAGCATAGGGCAACACAGAAAACATTCTTAGCAGGAATGATGGACACGGCTTACTTGAATTTTGAAGTGTATCAGCCCTCCTCACACCTGCCTAGTCTTAAGCAAAAGACAAACAAGGGGGCAGAAAAAGATACTTTCCAAGCAACTAAAGAAGAAATGCTAACTGATGTTATGTCTTCTATTGCATTTATTTATTTATTTATTTTTATATTGACAGCCTTGTACTTTAATTACTTAGTTGTTTTGCTTTAGTTGTCTCACCTGCATAGGCTCTTACACCTTCATTTTCTTTTTCTGTGCCTGCTTTATTTTCTGTATTATTTCTCACATGTTAACCCACATGTTTTCCTTCTCATCCATACTTTCTTCCCTTGCTTCCATGTTTCTCATTCTTTCCTCTCATTAAATAAAACCTATAAATGAAATTATTCTCAATTGCCTTTATAGGAATGTTTTAGGTGAAAATGCTTCCAAAGACTAAGGCTACCACTGGTGAAAACACCCTCTGTGTGTGTGTGTGTGTGTGTGTGTGTGTGTGTGTGTGTGTGTGTGTGTGTGTGTGTGTGGCGGGTCCTTTGTTGTCAAGGGTGCGGCTTCTCCCCTATCTAGCCCAGAACTCAACACCATTATCTACAAGTTTTGGTTAGACAAATGTTCAGAGGTGGCAGGGAGGGATTGGATACACAATGAGGGCCTTCAAGAGTGAGAGGACTAAGATCAAGCAGTTCCCTCTCAGCAGAGGACATCCCACACAATGCCATCCTGCTGTTGAGGTCAGCTCTGGGAGATTACGGAGGAGCATTCAGGATAAACAGCGGGCCTCTTCCTTTGCAGCTTGCAGGGAAGGACGTTCCAAGGAGCTGAAGGTCAAGGTTTAGAGACAGCAAGCCTACTTTAGCACAGAAAGTAGTGCAAGCTTTGACACTAAGGGTGGGGGAGTTTTATGAGACTTTCCTTGCATAACAATCAGCCCAAGTCTGCCCTTTTTTGAGCTCTGAGAGGCCCCAGGGCGTGTTGTCCAAAGAAGGTCTGGGCAGAGCGATCAACGACGGCATCTGCTCTTTCATTTTCCTATCTAGAAATGGACCGGGGAATGAGGACCTTGACCTGAAAGACAGAGCATTCAGTCAACAAAGAGAAAGGGGTTTATACCTTGTCTGGATTAAGTGTAAATACTCTGGGAAAGGCTACAGGCATTCCTAGTATCTCAGCCCCACCCTATCTCACTGTAAACTCTGGGAAGCCTTGGGGCTTAAAAGTTTGCCGCCTCACTTGCCCCCTGCTGGCTTTCCAGCAAGGTACTGGTTGCTTAAATTCCAGTGAACTCAGGGCCCTAGAGAAATGGCACAGCTAATGGCAAGCTGGAGCCTGGTCATGGTGACGTACTCATTTAATCCCAGCACTCAGGAGGCAGAGGCAGGCGGATCACTGTGAATTCAAGTGAGTTCCAGGGCAGTCAGGGCTACACACAGAAATCCTGTCTCAACAAGTTGGGACTCGAGCTAGGATGAGCTTTCTCTACTCTATATATCTCGGACTCTCCAGCCATGCCCTCCCACAGTAAACATACTAGTGTGTGGCATACTATGACCTACATGTTGCAAGTGTAAATGAATACGGCATCTAACAAAGCCATTTAGTTAGGTTATCAGGTGAGGAATAAAAAGGATGAAGGGGTCGTTTCCCTTCAGATAGATAGAATAGTAGTCCTCCCTGGCCCTGGCTTCCAGACTGCCCCTTCCTAATGCCTACAGGTGCCCACTTCTGGGTCCCTGGTTCCCTGATGTATTGTTTCTAGAATTCTCTCTGTGATTTCTGAGGCCCATGGTTTCATGGCAACAGAGTGAAAGGTCCTCGGCTTGGCCAATCATTGAAGGGAGGACAGGAAACAGCACCGGGAGTCCCGCCCACCGTGGGATACTGGACGGCCCCTTTTTCTACTTCAAGGGAATACCGCCTAAGGCTCCTGACGAGTTCGTTCCTTGTCTAGAGAGGTGAGATTTTGGTGAAAGGGCTGACTGGTCACCGGGCAAGGATTCCTAGCTTTGGGCATATTAAAGGGAGGCACGTGGCGTGGGTTTGGAACCGTTTCCTCCCACACACACGTTGCGGGTGCTTGTATTACCTGTCTCAGCAGTTTATCCTCAGGAGGCTTCCTGCTGAGTAGAAACTCTTTTCTCTGATTTCTGCCCCCACAACCACCCCGGTTCCTATGTTGGGGGCTCCAGAGAGACAAAGGTTTATGGGAGGGCTTTGGAGAGGGTTCCCAACCTTGTCTGAGAAGATTCCGAGGGAAGAGTGGGAGATTTGGCCTCCCTGAGAGCAAAGGGGCATTAATTCCATTTGTACAGTTCAGTTGGTGGGAGGCTGCAGCCTGGTCGGGTGCGTACTGTTTGTGTCCACGGGAGTTGGGCTGTTCTTGGGAGGGCAGGCTGTTTGGAAGGAGACTAGACTTTGGTCAGCGTGGGAGTGTCCCAGCCTTGAGAAGTGTCACAGGATAGAGGATAAGGAGGACTCTGAGGGATGGCTTGGGAGCCCCTTTGTCCCCCGAGAACTTTATGATGCCTCATCCGTTCTGTGTCACAGCTTCAAGGCTGTCATAATCATTCCCAAGTTCCATGTCTGGGAGTCCTAAGCGAGGTGTTTGGATGGAGGATATGCATATGTTAGTTAGCACAGGAGGAGTCCTGGTGTTATTTAAAAGCATCTGCCCAGAGATATCGCTCGGAATGTCCACATGAAGTTCCAGACTCTGTAAGGTGATATAATCTGAGGGCTTTATCTTCTACCCCAACCGGGGGGGGGGAGGCAGAGAGGGATGTAGAGGAGGCTTAACCCCATCTATCATTAGGGTCTCTAGGCTGGGTCATGGCTTATAGTTATTTCCAAATTCCACGTCAAGACTCCAAGTAAGGTGAGGTATTTTGAGGTGGCTAGACTCAGATAAGTAGGGGAGAAGTCCAGGACTTGATGGGAAAATGCGAGGGCGAACTGAGAGCCGCCTCTTCCCTACCGATACTGGTGTCATCTGTTCATGCTTTGTCCCTAGGATGCTTTAGGGAGGGACAGAGCTTATGGGTTATATCATTTCCTGGGGTTCCTCATAGAAGGTTAAGGGAAGGGCGACTTTCCTGAAGGGGCTCCAGTAAAGGGAGGGTTCAGTACTGGTTCCTGTAGGATCAGGACACACCATGGTGGAGGAACGATAGAACTTCTCCCCCCCTTGCATTGAAGGGTCCCAGCTGTTAGTTCTGAGAACCATGGGGGCAGAGGTTACTGGATTTGGAGGAGCCTCTTTCGCTTCCTGCCTCAGGGACCTTAGCTCCCCAATCAGTAGAGGGAGGTGGGCTGGTGCTGCCACGCATTTGAAGACCCCAGAGGAGTGAGAAGGCCTCTCATTATCAATTTGAAGAGTCTCAGCCATGCCCTCCCTTTGCTGTCAGTCTAAAGGCGCCTATTTTGGCGTTTGGGGTACGGTATTTAGACTTCCATCTTGGAAGGAATCAGCAGGTTTTCCTGAGGAGGCTAGGCTCCTTTCAGGAAGCACATTAGGCTTCAAGCTGGAGAGTACTCTGAGAAAAGAATGAGGAGACTACATGTAACAGATAGTGAGACCCTCGCAGAAAGCAGTTCGTAATGTAGAGCCCGAAAAGCTCTGGGTTCAAGCACACAGTCCTTATTCCTTCTTTTTTTCTGGTACATGAAAGAAATGGGACCCTTGAACTAAGGAAGGTACCCTCACACGAACAGAATAGAGGCCGGATATGGATGGCTTTCCAGGAGTAAATATAAATCCCTTGAGGATGATTTACAGTTCTTACTGTTGTAGACAGCAGAGGCCCTGCAAAAACTCCATCATGCATCCCACATATGGGCAATAGTGGCGACATGTGTTTTGTCACTTCTGCAGGAAATTGAGGAAGTTTGTCTCATGGAAGTGAGGCCTTGATCTCAAGGAGCAACATAAATAGCCTGAGGGAGAACAGGGTACAACCCCTCCTGTTAAAGCCATGGGGTCTGTCAGCTGTCAACCCTGGGAGACTCTAGACAAACGTAGAAGACATGGCGTGCTTCCCACATTTGACTAGATTCTCAGAGAAATAGATGACATTTGTCAAAGATGACCAGTGCTCTATAGCGAAGGACTTCCCAGATCTTATCAAGGCCAATTTAGTTGCATCAAGACAAAAAAAAAACCCTCTCTTGCTATCAACATAGGAAGACAACATGGCGATAAGGTTAATCTCAGAGTGAGCTGAGCCCACACTCAACATGCTCCTGCTGTAAACCTTAGGATGTTGCAGGCAAGATTTATCTGATGTGGCACTTCATTTTTTTTTCTTTTTCTGGTTGATGTGTGAAGGGTTTTGATCTGAAGAGGTAACATTCAGTGAGGGCTAGTCAGTGTAGACACGAGTCCCTGACTCAGCCTGCCACCAAGTTAGGGATCTCAGGTGAGGACAGAAGTTTCCCTCCTCCCTGTCTTTTTTCTTTTGTTTTTTTACGAGACAGGGTTTCTCTGTATTGTTTTGGAGGCTATCGGTCCAGCCCGGCCTCGAACTCACAGAGATCCACCCGCCTCTGCCTTCCGAGTGCTGGGATTAAAGGTGTGTACCACCACCGCCCAGTTCTCTTCCCTGTCTTACTCCATTCTCCCCTTCTTCACTCCTTCTGGGAAGAAAGGGATCCTGTGGAGTCTGTCAACTTTTTCCTAGCCCACGGAAAGTGCGTTTTGTGGTATTCTAATGGAATGGACTCTAACATCTGCCCCAAGCTCTCCAAAGAGCCAAGGGATTGTAGTGTTTCAGGGTGATGAGGTTTTGGTTAAACAGACACACTTCAGATCAGAGGAGATCATGCTTAACAGTAAAGGTGACTCTCCTGCAAGTAGGACTGTTTCCCTCAACAGACCCTGACAGGTCATTGAATTTGATGCCATTTTAGGTTTGTATGGAATGTTCCAGGGAGGAGAAGGAAAGCCTTTGTGTAAGGCTGTGATATTATCTAGTATCTCTTATGTGTTGCCGCACATTGTCAGGGAACTGAGGAATGTGGTCTCTGAAGAGGAATTATATGGCGAGGAGGTACATCAGGTCAGCAGAGCGAGGAGTCTGGGATGACCAGGAGTTAGATAAAGATTCTGAGTGGGAACTGAGGGTCCAACCCTCCTTACTAGGACGGAGAGTGTGTCTGGTGCGCCATTTCCCATGCCTGTGGGACACCCTGAGGGATGTGGTTGTATGTGGTACATGTCTTCTCTATCTTGGTGATCTCAAAGCATTGCTCAGAGGAACAAGCCAAGGCCAGCAGAGGGTACAGCCCCAGACTCCAAGGTTTCAGAGTGAGAGGAGATGGAAGCAGAGTTTGGTCAGTTCTTAACTGGCACCTGGGGGTGGTCCTTGATAGATGTGCTTGGGAATGGGTTTCCCTTACTTCTTCTTTGTCTCAGGAGTGTGAGATGCTATCCCTGGGGGTTGTCTCAGTCCAGCAGCTGAGTAGGATCTAAGACTTTCTAGAGTAAAGGTAAACTCAAAGGGGACCGTCTGCCTGAAATGAGTGATTTCAGAGTAACATCTAACCTAGCTGCATTTAGCAGCTTAGGGTTCTTACAGTCTTCTGAGGCCCTCTCAGCTCATCTTACAGCGCTATCAGAAATTGGGCTGAGGGTCTTGATGTGAGTAATATCCCCTCAAATCACAGCATAGAAATAACCCAGGGAGCCAAGTAGTCATGGTGATGAGTATATCTAATGTGCACCAAGGATGCTACCCAAAGCCCAGAACCAAGGGGGTCCCCAAAGTAGGCCCTGGAGTCTCAGGACCTTCCAGTTGCCTAAATGCTGAGGACCTTTCTCATATCCCTCTTCAGGTTCCGCTTGGACAAGCAACAAGGCAAAAAGCAGGCTAGCGGGGCTCTAGGAACATCACGTACAAAGAAGTTTTGTGAGTATGCTTTTGTTAGTGTCATCAGGAGTTAGATTTTTAGCTAAGGCCACTCATACTACCTTTCTCTCCCCCAGGTATGTGGGATCCATTCATCTGCTCTCTTGCGTATACCTCAGCCTACCATCTCTAGTGAGAGTCACTATGCCGTACTTTCCATTCTTCACCCTTGAGGAAGTTATCCAGAATGCTTTTGAAATACAGAGATTAGCTGAGGAGGAGGAGGAGGTCGAGGAGGAAGAGGAGGAGGTCGAGGAGGAAGAGGAGGAGGCCGAGGAGGAGGAAGAGGAGGAGGAGGAGGAGGAGGAGGAAGAGGAGGAGGAGGAGGAGGAGGAGGAAGGGGGAGAGGAGGAAGGGGGAGAAGATGAAGTGGATGATGAGGAGGAGGAGGAAGAGGAGGAGGAAGGGGAAGAGGAAGATGAAGAGGAGGTTGAGATGGAAGAAGAATGGGAGACTACTGACAGTGACACCGTCTCTCCCACATTATTTGCCTCTTTAAAAGTCACTTTACCGGCCCCATGCCCCTCCCAACCGTTCACTTTCTCATCCCGTCCTCTCTCATGGGGCAGTCTAGATGAGGTGGAAGCGGCTGTTGTTTGGATGCTGAGAATTTTCCAGCGTTACCAGCGCTCTGACTCCCCCACTTCATGTGGCAACCTAGACGAAAAGGATGGCAGCCCAGAGGAAGAGCGTTTAAACACTTTGAAGTTGGCAGATGATGATCCCTCATGGCGAAACCTCAGAAAGCGAAAGGTGACTGAACTAGTGAATCTCCTGATCCTCAAATACAAAATGAAAGAACCTGTCAAAGAAGTGGAAATGCTCGGCATCGTCACAGAGGACTACAAGAAACAATTCCCTGTCATCCTTCAGGAAGCTTTGAAGTGCTTGGAGATGATTTTTGGCATTGTAATAAAGGAAAATGATCCCGTGAACAGCTCTTTTGTCCTTACCAATGCACTGAACCTCACATACAATGACAACAGCCAGAGATTGCCTAGAAACGGCTTCCTGTTACTTATACTGGGAGTGATATTCGTAGAGGGGAACTGTGCCTCTGAAGAAAGCGTGTGGGAATTCCTGAATGTGATGGGAATATATGATGGGAAGGAACACTTCATTTATGGGGAGCCCAGGGAATTCCTCACTAGAGATTTAGTGCAGCAAAACTATCTGAAATATAGGCAGGTGCCCGAGAGTTGTCCTGCGCGTTATATGTTCCTATGGGGTCCGAGAGCCTACTCTGAAACCACCAAGATGCAAGTTCTAGGATTTTTGGCCAAATTTACAGGGAGGGATCCAATTTCTTTCTCATTCTTATATCGTGAGGCATTGAGAGATGAGGAAGAGAGAGCCCAAGGCAGAAAGGGCCCCACAGATTAGTGCCATGCTGTGCCTGCCCACTTACTGATTTTAAAAAGGACAGTCTGACTTTTAAGTAAGATGACGGGGGTCAAGCTTAGTCTGTGCATGAGAAGAAACAGTATAGGGCAGCTTTGTGTTCTGGTTCTAGATGATGATGATTGTTTCTTTTTGGGCTATTGTTTGTATTTATAATTGAAAGTGTGTTATGTTACCTTTGTAATGTTAGTTTTTGATTACTTACATCTGTTCCTATCTTACCAGACTCTGAGAAAATACAGGGTTCCTTTAATACTTTTAGTCAACTCTGTAATGTGTACCCAGACTGGTTTGTTTAATAAAACAGGAAAAACGGCAATAAATCTTAAGATCTCTGCTCACCGATTCATTTATATTCCAAACATTACTTGGATATATTTTAAAGTTGTATTTTTCAGTGTGTATGAATGTTTTGCCTGCATGCATATATGTTTAACACATGTGTCCCTGGTAACCTCACAGGTCAGAAGAAGGCATTAAGTCCCCTGGGTCTGGAGTTTCATTTCAGATGATTGTGAGTCACCACATGGGTGCTGATAGCTGAGCCCAGGTCCTTTGCAAAAGCAGCAAATACTCTTTATCCCTGAACCATCTCCAGCCCCATGTTGGAGTTTTTTTCTTTTTGTGGAAAGTGCGTGGTTGTTGGGAAGGGTATGTAGATAAAGAGCTACGTTCCCTTCCTAGAGATGGATGGAGTCTGGGGAGATGACTGTGAAGACACAATAAACCAGAAGAAGGATGAAGTTGGGCAGTGATGGTCCTTTTGTCATCACTCAAGTGCAAACGCCCTGAGCCAGTGCTACAGACCTGACTCTTAGTGAGGACAGAGAAAATCTCAGGATCCAAATAAGTTGTTCCCTTGGGATTCCAGCTGACCCAGCGAGAAATCCTTAGCCAGCACACTTGTGCGGAAAGGCGTCCTGGGGGTTCTACCTTGATCCATTGTCTGCACTTTTATCTTGGTTTGTTTGTCTTGGATTCTGAGATAAGATCTCTTTAGACCAAGATGGTCTTACTGCCTCCACTTCCAAAGTGCTGAGATCACAGGCATGCACCTCTGTATCGAGCTGTTCACTCTGACCCATAAAACCAAACAGATTCACAGAAGGTTCTCCTGGCAAATAGGCCAAGAAGCCTTCCATTGCTGGCTAGAGACCACCAGGCTGCCATTTTTTTCTTTGCCAGGGTGAGCCAGAGCCAAGGGATTGTTGTTGGGCCAAATCTAACCAAGATCTAGGATCTGGTGGTAATAAAATTAGAAACAGTATCCAGAGGGTGAGAAGCTGGGAGGAGAGGGAAGAATGACTCCCATCCAAAATAGTTCAGATTTTAGACACAAACTCTCATGACTTCTTTGGAAAGCTGCATTTGGGGCTGATTTGATGTTGACTCTACTGTGGAGCACATGCTTCCCCTGAGTGAGTGTGTGTGGGGTCAAATTACTACTCCAACTCAACTGACATTCATTATGTATACAATTATGTACAGACACTGCCAGGTGACTCTCAGCCTATATATTACAGTGGTCCTACATGACATTATTGTTGAAGTCAGCTTCACAGAGAGCCAGCTTCGGAGTGCTTGGGAGTTACCCCAAGATCATGAGATCACACAGTTGGTAAGTGACAAGGCTGACCAGGGGTTCATCTTTAGTCCACATTTTTCTCATGCCTCCCCACTGGCATTCTATTATTTTCGTTTTATAGATACAGCCTTTTGTAGCACTGGCTGTCCTCAAAATTCACATGTAGCTGAGGATGACTTTGAGGGGCTTGTCTTCCTGCCTCCCATTCCCAAGCCCTGTGCGCCACCCTTCTGGCTTATGCATCACTAGGGATTGAACCCAGGACCTAGTGCACACTAGAAAAGCACTCTCTGATGTACGTCACTGGCCCTTTAGTGTCCATTGGCAAATGTCCCAGATGACAAGGAGGTTGTATCTGAACTTGAACTTATGGCAATCCTCCTGTCTTAGCTGAGATTACATGCATGTGTTACTAGCCCAGCTCAACCTTTGCCCATTTCTTTAAGTACTTTTTCTCCATCCCTCCTTTTACTTTCCTTTAGGGGGGAGATTTCCAAATATATACTTGTAGTTGTTGTGTTATAGTCTATTCCATAGCCTCATAGCCTCCTTTTCTCTCTCTAGGATTTATTACTGAAAGATTCTATTGCTGTATATTAAACCTCATTAATATTTTTTGTTTTTAATTAAAGCCATAGGTTTTGAAAACTTGGACCTTATAGTTTTCTGAGAGGTCATTGGGGTTCTTTGTGGTATCTTTCATGACTACATCTGGCAGGTTTAAACTGCCCTGCGTGGTTTTCTTTTATGTTACTAATGCTCTAGCCCAGACCTCACCTGTGCTGACCAAGTGTTCCACCCCTGAGCTCTAGAACAGTTTTGAACATATAGAATACAGTTAGAATAGCTGTTTGAATGTTTTTACTTGACGCCATCAATTATATTTCTAGACCAGTTTTAATCAGTTGGTTTTTTATTAATATAAGTCAATTTTTCTGCTTCTTTCCAGGGATCTTGACATTTTTCATTAATAAAATGTATTCTTTGATAATTGCATCCTTGCTACTTCAGCTACCCAACCATTCTTCTCTCCTTTTCACCCCTAGCAACCTCTTTGTTCCCTGCAAGTCTCCTCCCCATGTTCCTGACTTTTATTTTGTGAACCACCGAGACAAACCAGGACTGTTCACACTACTGTGGGTGCGGAACTCCGTACTGGATACAGGTGGGCTTCCTGGATCTCCTTTTTCACACTATTCCTCTCAGGAAATGTGTTTTTTCGATTTTCATAAAGATTTCAACTTCCTTTGTGCTTCATGTACGTTATTTAGGTATTTTCTATATCACTGGCATAGCTGTCACACATTCCTTTTGTTTTTGCTTGCCTTGGAATGTTCTCATTTTTCTGTCAGATTCCAGAACTTTTTGCTCGGTATGATTTGCAATTATTTATTTTCAGGCTTTGAAAACAACCCCATGCTCTCCTGGCTTTAGGGCTGGGAACGAGAGATGTGATCTTATTCTAATACGTTTACTTTGGCATGTGAGTTGGCTATTAATATTGTTTCCTTGCTTTTATTTATTTATTTGATTTTTTGTTTTGTTTTGCAAAACAGGGTTTCTTTGTGTAACAGCCCTGACTGCCCTGGAACTCACTCTGTAGACCAGGCTGACTTCGAACTCACAGAGATCCACCTGCCTCTGCCTCCGGAGTGCTGGGATTAAAGGTGTGCGCCACCACTGTCACACTTTGCTTTCTATGTTTGATATCTTTGCTGTGGTAAGTTATGAACAGTTCTTTCCTGATTGTTCTCTTTATGGTTCTAAATGCTCTATGTGTTCAGAATACTCTAATTTCATTGGATAAAATGCCTATGTTTTTACACTTTATATTAGCTCTCACTTTATATTAATTCTTTCCACTCTGCATTATTTTAAAAACAATATTCTTCATTTTGAGTATCTTGTATGTCATACAATGTAACATAATTATATTCAATTTTGTTTCTTCATGCAAATTCCTCTCATGTCCCCCTAGCATGGCTTCCTTTCAACTACATGTTTGGTCTTTGTTTGTTTGTTTGTTTGTTTATATCCCACTAAGTCCAGTTAGAGCAGTTAGTGCTGCTCATATGTGTATGCGTGTGTGGCCATCCACTGGAACGTGGGAAACCTTTCAGTGGTCACATCTTCCAGAAAGAATGGCTCTCTCTCCTGCAGCAACTATATACTGCTAATAGCTCCACCTTCAGGAAGGGGTTGGGGCCACCAATGCCACTATTTTGGCTGAATTGGTCTCCTGCAGATTTTGTACAGGTAGCTGCAGCTTCTCTGAGTTCATGAATGTGGAATGCTTCCCTGTGGACAGGACTTGGCTAGCACACAGGACGTGGCTATCATGCACTCTGCATTCTTATGTCTGGTCTTTTGAAACTAGCCCAGCGTTTTTAGAAGTTTTGGTTGTGCACATTAATCTTGCTACGTATGTTTGAATGTGTTCTTCAATCTTGTCCTCCATCCCTGAAACTTGTTCTTATGCTTGGTCTTGTCTGTTAGCGCATGCTTTCTATTGTTTTCTAAACTTATTGCATCTATGAGTATGAATGTTGTGCCTGCATGGATATGTGTGCCCCATATATGAGCCGGGTACCCACAGAGGTTAGAAGAGGGCACTGGATCTTCTGAATCTGGAGTTAGAGATGGTTGTGAACCACTGTGCAGATGATGCGAACTGAACGTGGATAAGAGAAGCCCGTGCTCTTAACCGCTGACCCAAGTCTTCAGCCTTCCATTCCCAGCCCTGTGGGTTTTTGTGTGTTTGATTCACTATTTCCAGCGTTTCTTTCAACCTCACTTTCCCTGTGCCACTTCCCACGTGTGTTTGAGTTTCTCTCAGTTTCGTCCACTTTGTTACCTATATTGTCTATGGTCTTAATGGATTTCTTCATTTTATCCCTCGCGTGATCCCTGCCTTTTAGATGCAGGACTCTGACTTCTTCCTGGGATTTCAGTTCTTTCATTGTCTCTAGTTTCTGATAAAGACAGACAGCAGACCTGAGCTAGAGGGAGCTCTTGGACTGTGGACTGACAGCTGGGGAACCTGCATGGGGCTGAAATAGCCGCTCTGAATGTGGTTGTCAGTTATGTGACTTGATGTGTTGGGGAGGGTGGCAGTGGGATCAGGACTTAGCCCTAGTGCCTGAAACAGCTTTTTGGAGCCCATTCCCTATGACAGGGTACCTTGCTCAGCCTTGATACAGGGGGGAGGGGCTTGGTCCTGACTCAAGTTGGTATACCAGACTTTGTTGACTTCCCCAAGGAGACCTTGCCTGCTCTGAGGAGTGGATGGGGAGTGGGGAGGGTAGGGGAGCTAGGGTTGGTATGTGAAATGAAAAGTATTTTTTAAATACAAAATGAAAACAATAAAGCACTTAGTAATCTGGGACATTTATGTGCATTGAGCTATGTGTATTTTCACTTCAAATAATTCATCAGGCCATTCCTCCCTAAAGCCCCTCAGTAACTTGTCTTCAGTGACCAAGTACATCCCGAGTCATCCTTAAAAAGAAGAGCAAAGTGGGTACATCCAGCCTGACCTGGTTTTAGGTGTACTTGCAATAAGTCAACTTTGTGCCCTCGGAAAAACTGCTAGGGAAACACCCCTCCTATGTCCACACATGATTATGTGTGCATCTGATTAAACTTAGATGCGCCATGGGAAAGATGTGCACAGTGAACAAAAGTTTCTATAACCTAAGCCTGTCAATCACAATAAGAAACCTCCCACCTTG